ACACAAAAAAAAAAAAAAAAAAAAAAAAAAAGAGAGACTACAAGGGACATCTGTGTACATGGACCTTGGCTGGTCTCCTTGAGTCAGCAGTGAACCAAAAACAAAACAGGATGCTGAGATATTGACTTTTTCACTGTCAGCCTAATAACTGTATTTTGGAGTACAAGCAAACTGATGCTGCGACGTGCACGAGCTAAAGTGCACTCCCTCTGACTGTGGCCACAAAATGCACTCTGAAACCGCCTCCCTGACCCTTCAGGGATTTATTTTGTTTCTGCTCTGTAGCCTCCACCTGAATACTGTATTGGAAGGAACAACGGGAGAGAACAACTGTTTGCCAACAGTAAATGTGTGTGAGTAAAACTCCGTGCTCCGCGGGTTTAACACAACTGTGACCGAGAGAACTCTGGAGATAAGGACAAATGTACTAGATTACAGGATAAACCTCAGATATGAAAACAACGACAGAGTTCAAATCCTGGAGTGGTGCCGGTGCTCAGGCAGGTCAATGTTATGTGTGTGTCAGGTCTGTAATCATGTTCAGATAATATATTTTTAATTACATTAACAGTTAATTAGAGTTTTCTTCAAAATGGACTTCATAATTACTGACTCAAACACTGACCTGACAAGGCAGGAAATTGCACGTTGTTAAAAAAAAAAGAAAAAAAAAAGATAGTGCTTTAAATTTCAGTGTATCGATATTTTCTTACACCCAAAGGCAGGAAAAAAATGTATATGTTAAAATCAATATCTCAGTATTTTTCTTCTAGAAAACAAACAGCTAAATATATTGAGCTAAATCGTATCATAAAACGACTACAGTTCCTGTTGGCCGTGGCCCTCAGTCCACTCTTCCACTCGTCACTCATGCCTGACAAAAATGTTGGTGGTTCCAGGAGAAAGAGGTTGAAGTCAGTTATCTGTCAGTAAACAGAGTCTCAGTGTAACCAGAACTGGAGAGGGAGATGGAGAACCTGATGTATTGGGGATGCTGTGTAGACACAATGACCTCCAAGGTCAAGGCGAGGTCACACACTTACATACGCACACACCCCCTTTGCATTGGGTACCGGGGAACAGGGGTGAGAGGTCACCTCCACTTGCCTGCATTAACAAAATTGAGCCTTGCATGGCTTATGCTAATTCAGACACTGGGGTTCCCAGTGAGTGGCAGCTACACAGCACAAGTTGGGCTGTAGCACATTAGCTCCATTAGCATATTGCCAACTAATGGTAATGTTTACATATTTGACACGTCAGTTTACCGTCAGTGCCGTCTCCCTCTGGACTTTCTCTGCCCGACCTGGGCCGTATCTGTCCGTCTCAGAGAGCTACAGAGGACGCCAGGGATGAAAGGCCCGGTCCTCGTCCCCTACCGGTCGGCCGGACCGCCTCCTGCTCTCTGAGGCTGATTTAATTGTGAGGATGGGTGACGGAGGGGTTCAGGCCCAGGGGTCAGTGGGTCAACCTTATTTTCTCACCCTGGCTCCCAGGCCCGTGGAGATGGGGGTCAGCGTGTCAAATTAAATCTCATTCCCGGGTTTCCTTCCCTGCTGTCATGTATATTCATCGGCGCTCCAGGTGCCTACCATTTCGGGAAATTCACAAAAAGGTTAACTGCTAAAATAAATAATAAAAAATGCCCCCTGTTAAAACCGTTGACCTTGTGGAATAAAGCCTTTGCCTGAGCACTCCCGGAATTCTTTCAATATGAAGCCTCTATTATATTGAAGTGACACACAACAGCCACTCAGCTGCAGAAAACGCTGTCGATACAGGTTTTAATGCAGCAGCGTAAGATTTAAACACAGCATATGTTACTAATGACACTGCCAGAGTCCACCGGTATTTGTCTCTTTAAAAATTATCCACTTGTACTTTTAAACGTCCTTGCAGTCGGAAATTGAAAAAGTGAATCAATTTCATGCCTCTCTAAAATAGAACTTGCCGCTCTTGATAATACATGCAGATTGCATCCCCATAAATTAATGCACGGCTCCGTGTTCATCTGCTTTATGTTCTCCGTTTCAGATGGATATGTGCACCTGTGCGACAGGGCACCTGCACTTGGATTATTAAAGGCTATATATTAAAACACGGGGGCGCAAGATGGCTCCATTTAGCTTTTATTTCACAAATTCAGAGTAAGCTTAACCCCCGGTTCAAAGGCCATCCTCAGGGTGACACTTAGCATAATTGCATAAGTGTCTTAACTGTTTCCCCTCCAGCTCAATGTGGTCATTTATAATAAATGTGCCGGCTAGAATCCCCTTAACTCATTCGGCTATGACACATCATACCACGGCTATGCTTATGTTTTTAACAAGCCTGCATATATTGATTAATGATACTGAGGGAATACCAACCACTTGAACCTGGCATATTAATCAAATTGTCTAAAATATTTCTATAAATATTCGTAATCTCTAATGGGACAGGTCCAATTTAAATCTATAAATACCATTGTATGGTGAAATGGATTGCGAACATTAAATAGTTTGACAGCAGCAATAGTCCTGATAAATAATTCAACATGTGGGGCAGGTGCTAATTAGCTTGTGCTCTCCACAGACGGCCCAGACAGGAAAGGGTCGGCCGAACTATGAGACTGGATGCTGTAAAATCTATAGTTCCGTCTTACTTACTTCCTCCAGGTAACGTCGTTTGAAATTCTGCTGCCTGTCTGACCAAAGGAGAAGTATCTCTCTCCTGTCCTGCCCCCCCCCCCCCCCCCCCCTCTCTCCTTTTGTTCTCTTTGTACCCGATCAAAATTCATGCTGAGTTGCAGGTTATGGGCCCGCGAAGGCACACCGCACAGTTTGGTTTTAATCTGATTCCGAGAGGACCTCTTAACAGCATTTCAGATCCATAATATTATTCCAGTGGTGCTGCCGTGACCAGGATTAGTCGGCCTAATGATCCAGCAGCTCATCGTGCGCTTGCTGTCTCTCCACTTTTGAGAGGAGAAAGGGGAACGGCACACTTCCCCTCAAGTCTTAAGGACCTTCCTCCCCTGGAAGCAAAACTCTGAACAATGGATGACACTTCCGTAAGAAGGCAGAACATTCAGGCTATAATTGAGCCAATGGCGGACTTCCTGCTGCGAGCTTCCTGCTTCACTCATCCTCCCCTGATCCTACTGTACCTACAGGCCTTTTATGCATTTAGATGGATGTAAAACATAGACTCTGTCGAGGACTCGTTTTTTGCTGTCATGTTTGGTGATGGACTTCCAACAGGAGATACTATCGATACACTGAAATATCGCAGTATTTCATTTCATAATTCCGTATCGGTATTCTACAGCGATGTATCCATTTTTCTTTATTAACGATTAACAAGCAAACATTTTTTGCTTTTATTTCTACCCTCGTGAAGATTATTGTAGATCCCTCTGTTCCAGCTGACAGAGTTAACTACGCTGACTAATTTTCCTACAATTAAATTGTTTAAAATATATCATCATGTCTATAATATCGCAGTATATCGTACCATTGCCCATGTATCGTGATATGTATCGTATCACCAGATTCTTGCCAATGAACTGTTATGGTCAAGTCTTGGAAATGTGTCAGGAAACACTGGTGTTTTCTGTCTAATTAACTGAATCCTGGTTTCTCAAGTCAAGTCTAATTAACTGAATCCTGGTTTCTCAGCACCATCCACTCACTTCAACTGTTCAGCAAACAAGAAATAAATTGTCATCTGTACCAGAGTGTGCCGGAGCCCGTTGTGTGTAAGAGGATTTCTAAAAATCACATTAACTGTCATCTGTACCAGAGTGTGCGTAAGAGGATTTCTAAAAATCACATTAAATGTTTTTTTTTCTTTCATATAAAAAAAGTGAAGAAATGCTACAAAAAATAACTACTTCATAATTTCTACACAGAACCAAGTTAATTTATGTCTCACCGCCAAAAAGACGTCTATAAAATTAAGCATTTTTTTATGTAAAGACAAAGAAATCACTTATTTAACAATTCAGTGTTTTTTAAAGCGGGAATGTCAGACTTTTACAGCAGTAATCCAAAGAGGAAGTCGTCTTAAAGTTACAGATGTTCAAAAATAAACCGGTGTGTGTGTGTGTGTGTGTGTGTGTGTGTGCGCCTCCGGTACTGACAGTGAAAACTAACTGCAGGCTCACAAAACTACAACACAGTGGCTTCTTGTACCAGATACAGAGTCACTAAGCCAATGAGAAGTTCCCAAACTTTTGAATTTGTCCTTTTCACGTTCAAGGCCACCAGACGCTGTAAACACAAATTTATATTATTTGTCAACCTCATCCCCAGGAGT